ATGGCGACAAGCTTCCCATCCTTTTCATCGTGCGAGGGGAACCTGGCGGCCGCATTGAATCCGACGAGTTCGACACGTATCCGATCGGCCATTACTGTGCTGTTCAAGAAAGTGCTTGGATGGATGCCAGGATCTGGGCGTTTTATTTGCGGCACTTACTGAGACCTCGGCTCGAAGAACCCTCGGTACTACTACTCGACAATTTCGACTCTCGTGTCAGCGATGAAGGCATGAAGATTGCGAGCGAAGAGTGTGGATGCATCGTGGCTCCGATCCCTCCGAACGCATCAAGTGTGGTCCAGCCATTGGACGTTGGAATTATGGCACCTTTCAAGTGGCACCTGCGGAACTTATGGTTGGAGGAAGACTTTATTGAGGGTAGTGATAGTGAGGAAGACGTAGATTTCATTAGTGTCTCAGCCCAGGAGAAGCGGCTTGTTATGATTCACCGAGCAATTAAGGCTTGGGCGATGATCACGCCGGAAGAAGTTAGATGGAGCTTCTCAGAGGCAATTCCACAATAAATGTATTCCTTTTGTAATTTTCAGTGAAAAAGGTCGAAGCGCCCGGGACTCGAACCCGGAGCTCACTCAAGACACACAACGTGTTTTACCACTGCGCTATCGCGTCAATCCTTATCTTCGTAAGTGGTGCATTGTACCAATCAATATGAATGTGTCGATATTTGAAACTGCTGAAATGTGAGAGTCTTGAAAGTGGTTGGCCGTAAAATCCTACGAATTTCGAAGCTCAGCAGCCAATCATTCTGTGTATTTCAGAATAATCGATGTAGTAAGTGCCCCTTAAATTCCGTCGCCGACTGTAATGGCCTGTGGGCCAAGAACAGGAGAATCGAAGTTAAGCTGTTCGCTTTGAAAAATTCGAAGTGTGCACAACACAACAAATTGAAAAATGAGGTGCCGTTCTCAGCAGAAGGAGTTAGGTTTCGTGATTAAAGCAGCGACAACGTTTCGTAATGGCTAATGGTATTCTTAATTACCAACACCTATCAAAGATTTTCCTGCAAATCTAGAACAATATCCTTTCAACCTCTCAATGAATCCTATGATGTTCGTAAATGAGTTCAACGATCATTCTTAAATTTTTCCGGGATCTGCCACTACGCCGTCTCCAATGCGCTAACGTGATAATTCGCCGAGTTCCAAGCCAACGTGACTTCCGTTACCCGTCGGTGGAGCTGTCGTTGCATGCATTATGCCTGGGCCTCCCGACGCCAACGCTCGAACGCTGTTCGTCCGCCGTGTCTGCCGTAATCTACCCACCCATCTACGCACCATAGGTGCGTAACTGACATCGTGCGTTCTAACTGTCCGTATCAGGCAATTCTGTTCGTGTTGTGCCTTCGTTAGATTCGTCATTTTTGTAGCAACGGCGGACAAGTTCCAGAACTTCATGATACGAATTTCTTTGTACTAGTTTGGTCCGTCATGACCTAACGTCTCAGTTAGCGAAATGCAATCAGCTCATCAAGCACGAACGATAACCATGGAGAGGCTCCGGCTAGAGTTGCTGGAGAGCGAAGAATCGAGTATTATCTACAGAATCATGTCATTTCAAGTGTTGTGTTGCGAGCAGTGATTAACTACCTTCGTGAGAGCAAAAAAGCAATTTCTAGTCTCCAAGGGGGCTCGATTAGAATGAAATTGACAGGAAGTCTCTCGCTACCTTGTTGGTAGCGAAAGGCCAGCGTTGGTTCCTCATGATGCACATTGAATCTCCACTTCACCAAAGGTAACCTCCAAGCAATTCTTTTCAAACGTATTTACTACGAATGAGCGTAGTCGTCAGCTCTTTCGTTCAAGAGGTAGTCGCTGACGATGAATAGTCGCATGAACTCGACGAGTAGCTTCATGTCCGAACGCTGTTGCCTGGAAAGGCCGCATCTTTGATACCATGGGCGTGGTGTCAATGTGAACCTCTCGTACCACAAGGTCGAAGGCACAGCTGCATCGGCGCGGCGCTCGCTTCAGGTACATCATTGAATCGTTAACGGCACTTATTTCGCGCCGTCACATTTGTAGGGGCCGCGTTCTTAGTCAACTCCATTTTCCTTCAAAATGCATAATGCGCTCAAGCAATGCAATGCAGTGCCACAGTTTTGATCGGATCTATTGAAGATTCGGCAATGTGACATCACCAACGACCCACATGTGATTGGCCGAACCGGAACCCTGAATGCCGGAGAGACGTCGGACAAGTCAAGGGATATGTCAACAGGATCCACGTATGCATGAACTCAAGAGACGTAGGAAGACACAAAGTAAAAAGATCATCTTAGCAACATAATGTCCTAATCACTTTTCGATTTGCCTCGTTGGATCTAAGTCGCCTGCAAACGCTCGCCGCTGTTCCTCGACCGTCCTGATACCGCATCGATTCTACAGGTTATGAGCCCAAACAACAGCAACAAGGAGGAAGTATGGCATCAATCGTACCTGCCGTCAAATTGACGGAGCAAAACTACAGGAGTTCGAAGACTTATTTCCAAGGACTCCTGATGAGCAAAGAGCTCTTGGGGACCATCACCAACCCGACTACGACCACGACGGACCAAAAACAAAAAGCCATAGGGATCTTAATCGAGACACTCGACCCAAGCTAATACCGCCATGTGCAAGACATTTACGAAGTGTCGCTGGCCTACGACGCGCTCAAGACGCACCACGAGCCAACCACCAAGATCGATCGGATCGAAGTGAACAAAGAATGGGCGAAGCTTACCTGGTACCCGCGCCAAGAGCGCAACCGGACTTCATCCACCGCTTCGACCAACTCACGACTCGCCTAAACGAGACCAACCTGAACCAAGTCGTCAAGCTGCTTACCTTGATGCCTTGGGAATTCCGCCACTTGGTCGACCGTCTGCTCAACGGAGCCACTGAAGCGAGAATGTCGACGGTGAAGACGGAACTGAAGGCCGAATGGAAAGCCGCCGTGAAGGGTGGAGCCTTGAAGGCACCCAACGGCTACCCGAACAAAGACCGAGCACTGACTGCCGACGGCGGCGGTCGTGGCAACGGTGGTCGTGGACGCGGCAGAGGTCGCAACACGGAGTCTGCGCCCACGAAACCAGGCAAGTACCACTACTGTGGCAATGAAGGCCACTGGCAACAGGACTGCCGCAAGAAAGCCCACGATGAGAGTGCCACCACCGGAAACGGACATGATCGGAACGCCCGCGGCAACCAAGACCGACAGCACGACTCGACGTCCAACGCTGCCTACATGTTCTCGGCAATGGAAGCCGCCCCTAAGATGGAAGAACCCCAAGAAGCCGAACCATTGTTCGAGGATCCTACCTGGAGTTGGGAGACACGCCCCACCCGTGACGTATTGCTCCACTGGGAACGCATCAGCGTGCTGTACAACAGCCACCACGGCCCGGAAGTCGCGCGACTCGGTCAATTCCTCGTTCTCAACGACCCAAACACGCCACCATGGATGACGCACCCGTTCCTAATCATACAATACGACGTGAGAGCGTTTCGACGTGTCGATCTCAACACGGAAATCGCCGAGGAAGGGCCACATTACCGTCCATGGTCGTCGCCGATGGACTACATCTCGTTCCCGATCAGCGTCAACGGATTCCCCTGGGCAGAGGCTTACCAGATCAGCGTGAGACGTAACCGATCTCTTGTGGCGATCATCCACGATCGCATCACGTCCAACATGGACGTCGAAGGGAGTAACGCTGCAATCGACTTCGCAGCCAACTCCGCGATCGCCTTGCACGCCAACGGCCTCAGACATCACATCGTTGTGGACTCCGGCGCATCAGCGCACATGACCGGCGCCGCACATCACCTCTTTGACACGTCAACCTGTGATCGACGAGTGGTCGTCGCCATTCATGGCCCTTATGGATTGGGCTACACACGTGCTACAATGATAAATACAATGAGAGGCAATAATTATAAAAAAATTGGAGCAAATCTTTAAAATTTATCTTAGTTCGGATTATGGGCTGCAACTCGCCCATATAAAGTTGGAATCGCTAGTAATCGCAAAACAGCATGTTGCGGTGAATATGTTACTAGACTTTGTACACACCGCCCGTCACATCATGGAAATTAATTCATTTTAACATAAAAAATTTGTATTTTTTTTTAAAGAAAATATTTGATATCTATTATATAGAAATAAGAATATTTTTTTTACTAAGAAGGATTTAGTAACTATGATGAAGTCGTAACAAGGTAGTCGTAGGGGAACCTGTGGCTGGAAGAGCTCTGATATTAACTTTATTTATATTATATTTATAATTAATATTTTAATTATATATATAATATATTTTAATAACATGTCTATAAATAAAAAATATAAAAATTAAGTAGAATTCATTCTTATTATAATTTTTTTGTTTAATATAAGAAGTATAATCATATTATTTATATAAAAACATACATATAATTTGATACAAAATCCTTTTTAAGAAGAAAATACAAAAAAATTTATTTAAAAATTATAATAGTACAATTTTAAAAATAATAGATTATAAAGAAAACCAATTATTTAATTTTTGATTTTTCAAGAAAAAGTATTTTTTATTTCAATAAACAATATAGAATATATAGTTTAAAAAATATATTATAGAATTTAAGTAATATTTTAAATTATTCTAAAGTTGTTATTTTAAAATACAATATAAAATTTACCCGGTTGAGCTAATTCCATACGAATTAATACTGATAAAGTTGTACCTACTACTTCTGAAAAAGCACCAAAAATTAAATATAAAGTTCCAATATCTTTATGATTTGTTGAAAAAAGCCATCTTGATGACCAATTATATATATTTGAATACATTTAAATAACATAAAAATAAAAACATAATAAAAATAAGTTAAAAATAAGTCAAAAACGGCCGGAGCACCGTCGCTAAAACGACGGGAAAGCTCAACATCAAGACATCGTGCGGAAAGGACATTACCATGACCGACGTGTTCTTGATCGAAGGGATGCCAATGACTCTGCTATCCGTCCCAGCGCTAATGAAGGCAGACCCAGACGTGAGTGTCCGGTTCAAAAGCGACACGTGTACTCCTTCAGCGACCGAGCTAAAGTTGCCACCGCTTACCTATCACCCGACCAACGACTGTACGTCTTGGACGGCACATGCTCGACGGATCGCGTCAACGTCGCCATCACCGACGCCACCACCCTCTGGCACAACCGAATCGGACACTTGCCCGCCGACGCCTTGCGCGCCTGCGCCAAAGCAGGACTTGGGATCCCTCCGGGACTGCAGACCTCACCGCGACCGTGCATGGACTGCCCTCGGTCCAAGATGCACCGTGTGAGTGCCCCGAAGACACAAACCCGGTCATTATGGCCAGGGGAGTGCTGGCACGCCGACACGAAAGGCCCGCTGCCGACGAAATCCCTACG